TATATATATATATATATATCTGTCTCTGTCTCTGTCTCTGTCTCTGTCTCTGTCTCTGTCTCTGTCTGTCTTTTTATATCTTCCTTCCTTCATCTTTGTCTGTCTCTTTCTTTTGACCCTTTCTCCATCTCTATCTGTCTCCCTTTCTTTCTCTGTCTCTCTCGCTGCTTCTGTTTTGCTGCTGCAGCAGCACAGGAGAAGAATAGCAAGAAAGAGGAACAGCAAATAAAAGCTGCAGCGAGCAGCAAATAAAGCAGCAGAAAGAGAGACCGGCAGCCCTTGCATGCAACCTTAGACATAAACAGGAAGCACGCTGCTGCTGCTGCTGCTCCTGCAGCTGCTATTGCTGCTGCACCTGCTGCTGCCGCTGCTGCGGCTGTTCCTCTTACTCCTGCCGTTTCTGCTGCAGCTGCTAGTGCTACTGCACCTGCTGCTGCCGCTGTTGCTGCTGCTCCTCTTTCTCCTGCTGCTGCACCTGCTACTGCTGCTGCTGCTGCTGCTGCTGCAGTTGAGGTGTACAGACAGCAAACTGAGGCGTACTTCGTTCCGTCTCCTCCTTTCTCCATCACTAAGAAAGCCTTCCCGAAGGAGCCGGAGCCCAGAAGAGTTACTTTTTTGTATATTGGCATTGTTTAGAGTTTGTCTTGTTCTTTTGCTATTTAAAATAACTCTTTTTGCTGCTGTCTCGTGCTGCTGTTTGTCTCTGCAGCAGCTGCTGCTGCTGCAGAGACAAACAGAAACACCGGAATCGTCTCCACGATCGGATACACGATCCCAGGGGCCCTATAGGGCTAAGAAGAAGATACGGGGGGTTGTGAAATAAGACTGCTGCTGTTGCTGTTGTTGCTGCTGCTGCAGCTGCTGCTGCTGCTGCTGCCGCCGCCGGGGGGGTCCAGCTGCTGCTTCAAGCCTGTGAGTGGTTCTGTAGAGAGCATGCAATTCAGCTGCTGTAGCAGAGAGTTGCTGCTGCAGTGTAGTCATCTCCTTCGTGCAGCAGCAAAACCCCTTTCTTGCTTCCGGTAGCAGCAGCAACACCGCTTAAATAAACGTAGCAACAACAAACAAAACTTTTATTTTATTTTAATATTGTTTTTCTCTTGTATTTCAGACAGGTGTTGCTGATTTGAACCTCAAAATAAACCCAGAGGTCGCAGCAAGACGAGCAGCAGCACCACTGGACACCAGCAGCAACAGCAGCTGCAGCAGCAGCAGCAGCAGCTGCTGCTGCTGCTGCTGTTTTTTCTGCTGTTCCCTCCCCCCAAACCAAAGTTTTTATTGTTTTATTATAGAAATATTATAATATGAATTATTATTTCAATAATTTTATGTTTGTTACAGCTGCATATACAGCCGCTCAGCTGCACGGTGCTCAGGAGCAGAGGAGACCCCAAAGAAGAAAGCGTATTATTATTATTATTCGTTTGTCTGCAGCAGCAAATGATTGAAACAAATAATATATTTAATGAAAATCATTGCATGCATCTTTATTTGCTGCTGTTGCTGCTGGTGCTGCTGCTGCTGCTGCTGTCGCTCTGCTCAGCCTGGTGCTGCTCCTGCTGCTGCTGCGCCTTCTCTTGCTGTTGCTGCTGCTGCTGCTAAGCTCTCCTCTCCTGTTATTGCTGCTGCTGCTACTGTTGATGTTGCTCTCCACTCAGCGCAGCAGCCGTGTGTCTGTGACTCTTTGCATGCATTCATCTCCGTCTGCTGCTTAGGGTTTCGGGTTTAGGGTTTAGGGTTTAGGGTTTAGGTACCTAAGCACTAAACAAGAAAGAAGTCCTTGCTGCAGGTTCATCTTCGTCTGTCTCCGTTTGCTGCCATATAAAAGAGAGGGGGTCTCTCTAAACCCTAAACCCTAAACCCTAAACCCTAAACCCTAGAAAACCCTAAATCGTAAATCCATTCGTTGCTTGTTTGTGTTCTTTTTTGTTTTTGTTTGTTTTCTCGTTTTGTTTTGTTTTGTTTTTTATTTGTTCGCTTTCAATGTCCATGCTACTCCTTTCTCCTAAACAAAATAATTTTGTTTAAACACTAACTTCACCTATATACATCTGTATATATATATATATATTTTATATATATACAGCTGTATATATATATACATTGTTCTATTATGCGATGTCTATAATAAACAAATGAGTAAGTAATAATATAAAAATAATAAAACTTCTGCATTCATAAATATTATAAACATGTACATTTAAAAATATATTAAATAGAACCTTTACTTTTATATAAATATAAAAGGCATATATATAATAAAATATATATAGTAAAACCCTTTATTTTAATATATATATATATATATATGTATACATATATATATATATTTATATATATACACATGTATATATATATATATATATATATGTATATAATATAGAGAGTAAAATATTTATATTTTGTGTGTATTTATAAATATTAGTATAAATGAATATAATATTATTTGTATGATATATATATAAGTAATAAAATATAAATTATAAGAATATTTTTACTATGCAGAAGATATAATGATATAAATGTATAGAATAAATAATAAATAATAAATAATAAATAATATACAATAAAGAATAAACAATAAATAATAAACAATAAATAATAATATATTTTGATATTCTACTTTAATGAAGAATAATATCTGCATTTTATATTTATATGTGCAATACAAATAATTAATATGTGTATATATATTATAACAAATAAATAAATATTTTTATTTATTATAAGCTAATAATTATAATGTATACTATATATGTAATGTAAATATTTTTTATCAGCCGCTGCCTCTTCCTGCAGCAAGGATTGTTGTTGCTGCTGTAGCTGCTACTGTTTCTGATGATGCTGAAGCATCGGTTGTTGCTGCTGCTGCAGCTCTTGCCGTTGCTGCAGCTTCTGTTGCTGCTGGGTTTGGTGTTGCTGACGTTTTTGCTGCTGCTGCTGCTGCAGCTTCTGTTGCTGGTGCTGCTGCTGCTGCACCTGCTGCAACTACTTATTAGACAGAGAATCAGTTGTCTCTGCTGCTGTCTCCTTTCAGCAGCATCACCATAGCCAGGCCCGCCTTCTGCTGCTGTAGACAAAACAAATAAAGAACGGAGGAGACAACTCCACCTCCTTTATATATATATATATGTATATAAATATATACATATATATATATATATTTATATATAGGCACTTTATTTTGTCTGTATATATTTACATGCATGTGCACACATATACACAAATATATAGACAAAGATCTTATGCAATTTGTATATTTTATATGTTGCGTTGTTTATATTTTTTGTTAATAATTTAATATGCTACTGAATTATAGTTAGTCTATATAATCAATAATGCATATAATACCTATGATACTCATAAGTTTATAATAAAACTATTACTTTAATATATTAAATATATTACAATATATATTATATTATTCAAATATTATATATTATTTTAGTACTTTTTTTTGCTTCTGCATGCACGAGCTGCCTGTACACCTGAACCACAGTGTTTCTGCCTAAGAAGAAAGGTTAAGGGTATTGTTTTGAAGCGCAGAATGATTATAAAGCTATTAAAATTATTATTTTAAATATTTAAAATTCTTTTTTCAGTAAAAACTACAAAAAAATATCGACAACTCGTGCAGCAAACCATCTATAGGGGGCTGACCGCCAGCGGTCTGCATGCAGTGTTTGCTGCATATCTTCGCGGAGTATTATCAAATAAATTTAATATCTTTTTATTATTTTTAAATAAATATATTCCTTAAACAAACAAACAAACAAATACCTTCACTGCTCACCCTCTAACGTTTTGCTGCCATCTAGGCAGAACCGAGAGCAGCAGCAGCAGCAATAGCAGCAGCAGCAATAACGACAACAGCAACAGCAATAACAACTGCAACAGCAGCCGAATAAACCGCAGCAGCGCTAACCGCAACGACGGCAGCAGCAGTAACAGCAGCAACTGCAGGAGCAGGAAGAGCAGCAGCAGCAGCAACAGCAGCCACAGCAACAGCAGCAGCAACAGCAGCCTCGTAGTAAGATGGGTCCCCCTGTGCAGCGGCGTGGTAGGCGTCGGAGCGACTCGGAGCCTGATGATGCATCAGCAGCAACAGCTGCTGCTGCAGCACCATCTGCTGCCTCTGCAGCCTCAGTTGCAGCAGCATCAGCAGCAGCAGCAGCAGCAGCAGCACAGCCATTTGAGCTGCGGCAGCGGGTAGGACTGACAGAAATGAGTTTTATGCATCTTCCGGGCTCTGAAGTTTACAGTGGAGTCGCCTTCGGTCCTACAGTTTGGATAGCAGCAATTGCTTTGCTGCTGCTGCTGCTGGCAGCCCTCAGGCTCTTCTCTGCTGCTCCTGACGCTTAACTCCTGCTGCTGCTGCTGCTGCTGCTGTTCTGCAGCAGCAGCAGCAGCAGTAGCATCCACTGCAGCACAGCGCGTTGTCTCTTACCCATAGACGGCTTCGAACCGTATGCTTGGCCAGCTGCTGCTTCTGCTGCAGCAGCAGCATCTTCTGCCGCTTCTGCTGCAGTGTAGGCAGCAGCAGATGCTGCTGCTGCTGCTGCTGCAGTGTAGGCAGCAGCAGCAGCTGCTGCAGCGTTTCTTTTCGTTTACATCCGACAGCCAAGTTTTGTTTGGAGGTTTGTTAAAATTTACTTGCATTAAAAAAAACATATTTAAAACCAAAATATGCTTTGCTGCTGCTGCTTCTGCAGCAGCAGCAGCTTCTGCTGCAGCTGCTGTTTCTGCTGCTGTTTCTGCTGCTGCTATTGCTGGTGCTGCAGCGCGCGATCACCTCAACGCGCCACCATCTAGTTCGATAGCAGCTTTCTGCTGCTGCTGCTGCAGCAGCATTAACTGTTGCTGCAGTCTTGTGAGGCTGTAGCTGCTGCAGCAGGCGGTGAGTCCCTTACTGCTGCTGGTGCTGCTGCATTTGCTGTTGCTGCAGCATCTGCTGCAGCACCAACTTATGCGGCTGCAGCTGCAAGCTTGTTAGCGCCTCCGTCTCAGCAAACGTACGTGGAGTGCCTGCTGCAGCTGTTGCTGCTGCAGCTGGTGCTGCTGCAGTTGCTGCTGCAGCAAGTGCTGTCTGTGCCTTCGGCAGATGCACTGCGGGAAGCTGCTCGGTAGAATCTGCAGCAGCAGCATCAGCTACTGCTGCAGCTGCAGCAGCAGCTGCTGCTGCTGCTTCTCCCCATGGCGGTGCTGCGGCTAGTTGCTTGCGTGCTGCAGCAGGTGCAGCAGCAGCAGCAACAGCAGCGCGTAGTGAATGCACATAATTAATTGAAGGAGCTGTGCATACACCCCGATATGACGGCCTCTTGAGGCCCCTCTGCTGCGTTGGGGGCCTCCCTCCCTGCGCCTTCTCGTCTCCTGCTGCTGCTGCTGCTGCTGTTGCTGTGTCTCTTGCTGCTTCTGCTGCTGCTGCTGTTACGTGTGCTGTTTCTCTCGCCGCAGCTATTTCTCCTGCTGCAGCTGTGTCTCTTGCTGGTGGATGTGCTGCACCTGCTGCTGGTCCTGCAGCTGTGCTTCCCGCTGCGGTTGTGTCTCTTGCTGCAGCAGCAGCAGCTCCTGCTGCTGCTGCTGCTGCATTGAAGAGGTTCGGCGCTGTATATACCTTTTGGAGATTGCGCAATGCTGGCCTTTCACCTGCTGCTCCTGCTGCTCTTGCTGCTGTTGCTGCTGCTCTTGGTGCTGCTGCTGTTTGGTGCTGCGAGGAAATGCCCCCGCTGGTTCTCGTACCTGCTGCTGCTGCTGCTGCTGCTGCGACCGCCGCAGCAGCAGCCGGTTGATGCCGTGGGCGCTGCTGCTGCATCCTCTGAAGAGGGGCGTACAATGCAGCTGCTAGCTGGTGGTGCTGCTGCTGCAGCACCTGTTGCTGGCGCTGCTGCTGCTGGTGCTGCCGCAGCAGCATTCCAGGGATAAAGCCCTTCCTGCCTGCTAAGATGTGCTGCTGCTGCTGCTGCTGCAGCATCACTCCCCACAGATGCAGAAGCAGACGCTCTAGAGCTACCGCGCCAGAGCAAAAGGGTGCAGCACTTGTCACAGCTGCAGCAGCAACAGCAACAGCAGCAGCAGAAACAGCAGCAGCAGCAGGAACAGCCTCACATGCAGTCAACTCCCTTCCCTCTTGTTCTACACTCGCAGCAGCGGCGATTGCAGCAGCAGCAAAAAATAAAATGGTGCGCCAGCAGCAGCAAATCAGCTAGCAGCAGCACAAGCAGAAGCAGCACCGGCAGCAGCAGCAGCAGCAAGTGCTTCTTACCTGACTGCCATCCCGAGAGGGGCGCAGCCTCAAGCAGCAAACGACCAATCTCCGCTGAGGAACTGTTGCTGCTGCTCTTGCTGCTGCTGTGGGATGCTGCTTCTGCTGCTGCTGCTGCTGCTGAACGGAGACAGGAGACAGTTTGAATTTCGTGCCGCAGGAGCGACACAGTCAGGGCGGTCTCCAGCAGCAGCTGCAACACACAGCAGCAGCAGGCGTTAAACATGAGCTGCAGCAAGTACACTATCCCTGCTGCTGTTGCTGCTGCTACTGCTGCTGCTACTGCTACTGCTGCTGCTACTGCTGCAGAAAGACTCACATACGCTGCCTCCTCACGCGAATTTGCTGCTGCTGCTGCTCCTCGCCAGCTGCCTGCCCAGCAGCAGATTTTGCTGCAGCGTCGTCCATTGACCTGTTGCTGCCATTTCTCTGCGCTGCTGTCGCAGGTGCTGCTGCTGCAACAACTGCTGCAGCAACTGCTACTGCAGCAGCAGCAGTTGCTGCTGCTGCTGCTGCTGCTGCAGCTGCTGCAGCTTGCAGCAGAGCCTCCCGGGGTATACAGACGGCGAAATTCTGCGAGCAGCAGCTGACAGCTGCGCTTTCTGCTGCGGCAGCTGCAGTCAAGTAAAACTTTGCTTGCTTCGTGCTGCAGGCTGCTGCTGCTGCTGTTGCTGCTGCTGCTGCTGTTGGTGCTGATGCCCTGCAGCTGCAGCAGCAAAGAAGCCTCAATCAGCGGAGTATGCAGCGCAGAAGTCGGCAGCAGCAGCGATGGCTGCCAGAAGCACCGCTGTTTGCACCATCTCCAGAGCTGCTGCTGCTGCCGTTGTTGCTGCTGCTGCTGCACCAGAGAGGGTTGCATGCTGCCCTTGTGATGCAGTTCTTCTTGTGTCCGAGTTGCAGGGGTAGCGGATTCGGCCTCATTTGCTGCTGCTGCTGCTGCTGGTGCTGCTGCTGCTGCCATTGCCTCTGCATCAGGAAAGAGGCTGTCTGAAGTTTTCAAGTGCTCCGCAGCCCTAGGCCCAGCAGCAGCAGCAGCAGCAGCAGCAGCAGCAGCAGCAGATGCCGTCAATTCATTTGCATTTGGAGTTCCTTCCGCTTCCAATTCCCCACACGGCAGCGGCGACGTTCTGCTGCTGCGAGCTGTAGCAGCAGCTGCTGCAGTTGGTGCAGCTGCTGCAGTTGCACCAGCTGCTGCAGTAGCTGCAGCAGCTGCAGCACCAGCCTCCGGCCTCTCGCATGCTCCAGTAACTGCAGCAATACGCTGCTGTTGGCTCGCAGCAGCAGCAGCAGCAGCAGATACAGCTGGTGCAGCAGCAGGAAGCAAGGCATATTCACTGGAGATGTTCAGGGGTTGCGGTTGCTGCATATGGCACTGCAGATGAGCTGTTGTTGCTGCAGCTGCAGCAACTGCTGCTGGCTGCTGCAGCAGCTGCAGGCGGCTGCGTTCCTCCGCTTTCACCATATCCCTTATGCAGCTCTGCTGCGCAGCAGCAGCAGCCATGCTGCCCTGCGGTGCTGCTGCTGCTGCTGCTGCGAAGGCTGGGGCTGTTGCTGCTGCGTTGTAAGCCTGCAGAGGCAAGGCCCGCGGGAGCTGCTGCTGCTGCTGCTGCTGCTGCTGCTGTAGACCTCCCCCAAGCAGCAGCCGCACCAGCGGCGGCAGCTGGGGGCCGTAGAGCAGCAGCAGCAGCTGATGCCAGCCGAAGGAAAAAAAGCTGCAGTTGCGGTGTACATGGGCAGCCGCTGCTGCTGCTGCTGCAGCTGCTGCAGCAGAAGCAGCAGCATCAGCATCGGTTCCAGTTGTTGCTGCTAGTGCTGCTGCTGCATGCATGCTGCTGCTGCGCTGCAGCAGCAGCAGCTGGCCTGGAGAGGCCGGACGAAGAGAAGCAAGAGCAGCAAAGTTAGGAAGGGTGTGCATACACCTGAGAAGCTTCACGATATCCGTTGCAAACTGCTGCGCTACTTCGTGCTGCTCCTCTTGCTGCTGCTGCAGCAGGCTAGGTGGCACGGTGCTGCGGCTGCCGCTACTGCTGCTGATGCTGCTGCTGCTGAGCCGGAGCGCATCTGCTGCAGCAGCCAACAGGCTCTGCAGCAGCCAACGAGCTGTGGGTTGCATGCTAGGGAGAGGAGCAGCAAACAGCGGCAGCACCAGGGTCTCAGGAATACGCTCAGGAAGCTCGTTGCTGCTGCTGCTGCTGCTGTGGTTGTAGGTGTTGCTGCTACCGCTGCTGCCGCCGGTGCTGCAGTTGCTGCTGCTGCAGGTGCTGCTTCTGCTGCTGTTGCTGCTATTGCTGCTGGTGCAGCTTTGGAACCCAGCGAACGCAGCAGCCGTAACATCAGCTGGAGAAGCAGCAGCAGCAGCAGCAGCAGCAGCAGCAGCACCAAGAGGAAGGGCCTCTGCATACAGCACAGCGCCCACTGGGACAGCTGCTGCCCCCCTGCCGCAACCGCCCACGGTGCTGCTGAAGGAAGCAGCATCACTGTTGCCGTTGTTGCTGCAGTTGCTGCTACAGTTGCTGCTGCAGTTGCTGCTGCAGCTGCTGCTACAGGTGCTGCTGCAGTTGCTGCCATTGCGTTCACCTGAGGCCCCCAACAGCTGCAGCGGAATTAAAGAGAGGCGAATGCCGCAGACAGAAATGCTGCTAAGCACATACGACTGCTGCTGTTGCTGCTGTTGTTGCTGCTGCTGTTGCTGTTGCTGCTGTTGTTGCTGCTGCTGTTGCTGTTGCTGCTGTTGTTGCTGCTGCTGTTGCTGTTGCTGCTGCTGCGGCTGTTGCTGCTGCTGCTGCTGCAGCAGCAGCACCTTCATCTGCTCCACAAGACCCCGCTGCACCGCCGTTTGCAACAGCAACGAGAGGAATTCTGTATATCGGTGCTGCAGCAACCTCGTAAGTCCTTCAGCAGACCCAAAGAGAGGCAATGCAGCAGCAGCAGCAGCAGCAGAAGCTGCTGTTGCTGCTGCTGCTGCTGTCGCCTCGAGACGCTCTTTATCAAGGCCTAGTCCACTGACAAACCCATAACATGAGGGGGGTGAGGTATGGGGCATGCAGTGCAGCAGCTGCTGCAGCGGAGGCTTCTGCAGCAGCAGCTGCTGCTGCGCCATTTGCTGCTGCCGTCGGCTGAGCATTTGCTGCCGCTGCTGCCGTTGTTGCAGTTGCTGCAACTGCTGTCGCTGCAGCAGCAGCATTTGCTGCTGGTGGGAGGAGCGGGCATGTGATATCCGACTGCCACTGCCTCCACCCTTGCTGCTGCTGCTGCTGCTGCTGCTGCTGCTGCTTGATCTTTGCTGCAGTCCTTCTCCGTTATAAGTAGAGTCAGGCGACAAACCATTTTTCTCTGTCTCCTCTGCCTCTGGTGCTGCTGCTGAAAGGCTGTCCTCACTGTCCTCGTCTCCTTGCAGCAAATGATGCCCCGCAGAAGCAGCATCAGTTGCTGCTGCTGCTGCTGCTGTTGCTGCTGTTGCCGCTGCACAGCGGTTGCTGCTGCTGTCGGCTACTGCAGCACCAATGGCACTGCTGCTGCTGAAAGCAGGGGTCTCAGCCATCATGTGCTGCACCGCGGCAGACAAAAGAGGAGTGACTTGGAGCAGCGCTCCTGCTGCTGCTGTTTGCTGTCGCTGCTGCTGCTGCTGTTGCTGCTGCTGCTGCAGCGGATAGCGCTGCAGAAGCTGCTGCTGTGTATGCAATCCAGTAAGCTCGTGAGGGGCAAACAGCCGCAACGCAGCTCCAATCAGCAGCAGCTGCTGCCTTATGCCAGCGCTTGCTGCTGCTGCTGCTGCTAAGCCCCACCTGTCTGCATATTGCTGCAGCAGCAGCGGCAGCCGCCTTTTGGGGTTTTGTTTGTGGTTGCTGCGGTCGATGCTCCTGTTCAATGGCTGCTGTTGCTGTTGCTGCTGTTGCTGCTGCTTCTGCTGTTGCTGCTGCTGTTGCTGCTGCTGCTCTTGCGGCTGCTGATGTTGCTGCTGCTGTTGCTGCTGCAGCTGAGGGTACTGCTGCTCGACAGCCGCAGCCCAGACTGCAGCAAACTCAGCAGAAGAAAAAAGCAGTGAAGCGGAGTTGCTGAGTGCCGCACCCTGGAGAGACTGCCAGATATGGCCAGAAGCAAATCTGCTTGCTGCTGCTGCTGCTGCTGCTGCTGCTGGAGTTGCTTCTGTTGATGCTGCTGCTGCTAAGGGACAGTCTGCAGCTGCTGAAGAAACACCAAAGACAGCCTCTTGCAGCAGCATCAGCTTCTCCTTCTGGGGCAGCAGCAGCAGCGCCGTTGTACACCAATCTCCTGGTGCTGCTGCTGCTGCTGCTGCTACTGCAGCGTTGTCTTGCTGCTGCTGCAGCAGAGGCAGCAGCGCAGCAACGAGCTGCAGCAGCAAATTGGTATGAGACTGCCTTAGAAATGCAGAGACAGGCAGCAGCAAATCACGACCCCAGTTAAACACGCAGTGAGAAGCAGCAGGAGGATACCAGCCAAAGCAAAAGTAAGGGGCGCCTTCATATTCCTCCTTGCTGCTGCTGCTGCTGCTGTTGCTGCTGCTGCTGCTGCTGCTGCTGCTGTTGCTGCTGCTGCTGTTGGGGCATTCCAAGGAGGTGCGGCTCCCCTCTCCTTCTCCGTCATTTCTTTTACTCCGGCGGCAGCTTTGATTGCTGCTGCTGTTGCTGCTGTTGCTCCTGCTGCTGCTGTTGCTGCTGTTCCTGCTGCTGCTGCTTCGGCTGTTGGTGGCCGCTGTACAGACAGCAATCGAATCTTCGCAGGTGGTGCATTTCGTCTTGCTGCGGCTTCTATTGATTCTGCTTTTGCTGCTGCTGCTGCTGCTGCTGGTAATGGCACTACTACCCCTTCCGCCACCGCTGCTGTTGCTGCTGTTGCTGCTGCTGCTGCTGCTGCTGGTACCCTGCAAGCGTTGCAGGTGCTGCTGCAGCTGCTGCTGCATGTCCCACGACATCTGCCAGCTAAAGAGCTCATCCTGCTGCCCGTGAATAAACAAACAACTGCAGCAAAAATTTGGGTTTATAATATCAGCAGCAACATGCCACAGGGTTCTCGGCACCACCAGCGATGCTGCTGCAGCAGGAACGAAGCTTTTTGCTGCTGCACGGATTGAGGTGTATGGACACTGCAGCACTACACCCCCCAAGTTATAAAAATTCAAAGAACCTCCGCCGCTCCAGCACCTCCTGCTGCTGCTGCTGCTGCTGCTGTTGCTGCTGCTGCTGGTACTGGGGGAGCGCCAGGGCCCCGAACAGTCTGTCGTTGCTGCTGCAGCAACTTGCGCAGCAACCACTGCCTCAGGAGCTGCGGTGCTTGGTGGTACAACTGCTGCTGCTGTTGCTGCTGCTGCTGCTGCTGCAGAGGCGCACAGATTGCTGCCTAAGACAGGGAAGAAGAGACAGGGCCTTAGCGGCAGCTCCTCCCGCTGCTGCTGCTGCTGCTGCTGCTGCTGCTGCTGCTGGTGCTGCTGCTGGCTGTTGTTGTTAAGGACAGTTTGCAACAGCTGCCGCTGTAGCCTACATGCTCTAGCTTGCTGCTGCTGCTGCTGCTGCCTGAAAGCAGCAGAAAAAGCAGCAGCAGCACGAGTCACGGGCCCCGCCCCGATGCTGCAGCCCCACAGCACAACCCGCTGCGGCGGCCATCGCAGCTGCAGCAGCACAAAAGATAAAATAGATTGAAGACATAAATCTACTGTCTCCTCAGTCGCTTGACCTGCACACACATGCTCCCGCAAACCAACATGCTGCTGCTGCTGCTGCTGGTCATGCTGCTGCTGCTGCTGGTGGTGATGGAGCTGCTGCTGGTGTTGGTGATGCTAGCAATGCTGCTGCTGCTGATGTAGCTGTTGCAGCAGCAGGGCCGCAACCAGCAGCAGCAGCAGCATCAGCAGCGGCAGCAGCAGCAACAGCTGCAATAGCTGCAACAGAAGCACAGCAGCAACAGCAGCGGCAACAGCACGAGAAGCAGCACCACCACCAACACCATTGCCAGCAAAACAAAAAGCGGCAGCAGCAGCAACAGCAGCAGCAGCAGCAGCAACAGCAACAGCAGCAGCAGCAGCAAAAGAAGTTACCTTGGGAGAGGCCATATCCAGGGTAGTCGAAGGCTAAGACAGCAGCACCGGTCTTCTGCTGCACTTGCTGCAGCAGCGGCATCATATCTCTTATGTCGCTTCCGTTGCCATGTGCATACACCACAAGATAAGGGCAGCAAGCTGCTGCTGCAGCAGACTTCAATGAACCAACAGCAGCACGTGCTGCCTGCAGCAACGTGGGAGACACACTAGCAGCTGCAGCAGCAGCTGCTGCTGCACTAGCAGATGCAGCAAACTCCTCATTGCTGGAAGGATCTCTTGCTGCGCCTGCTGCTCCTGCTGCTGCTGCTTCTGCAGCAGCAGCATCCCCCCGCTTGGTGCTGCAGACTCGCTGATACGGCGTTGCTGCTGCTCCTGCAGGTGCTGCTGCTGCTGTTGCCGCTGGTGTAGCCCCTTTGTGTGTACCGCAGCAGCCGCCTCGTGCTGCAGCGCAAGTGCTACGTTCTGGGGTGTACATGCAGCAGCAGCAGCAAGTGCTGCTGCAGCAGTACTCATTCAATGTAGTGTGGGTGCTCAGCTGTCTCCTCAGCCGCTCTGCTGCTGCGCTCTGTACACCGTAAAGCTGCTGCAATGCCTCCTCTACAAGCGCCCTCACCAACTCTGCCTGCTGCTGCTGCTGCTGCTGTGTTTGATGCTGCTGCTGCTGCTGTTGCGCTTGGTCCTTCTGTCCTTGCTGCTGCTGCACTTGCTGCTGCTGGTCGTGCTGGTGCTGCTGGCCCTGTTGCTGCCGCTGCTGCTGCTGTTGCTGCTGCTGTTGTTGATTCTGCTGCTGTTGCCGCTGCTGCTGCTGCTGCTGCTGCTGCTGCTGGTGCCTCTTGAATTTGCTGCTGAGCAGCTTAAGGAGAGACCGCTGCGTGGCGAGTAGCTGCAGCACCTGGTGTTCTTCATCTACAGGAAGAAGCACCGCTGAGATCCCCTTAGCTTTGCCTGCATTGCTGCTGCTGCTGCTGCTGCTGCTGCTGCTGAGCAGCGGTATGACGATCTGCTGCGGGAAGGACAGGAAGTCGTAGCTGCTGCTCTCGCCAGACCGAGGGAACATCCCTCGGTTTATTAAACCCTTAAAAAATGCCATTGCTCATTGCTGCTGCTGCTGCTGCTGCTGCTGTTGCTGCTGCTGCTGTTGCTGCTGCTGTGCTGCTGCTGTTGGTGTTGCTGATACTCCTGCTGCTGCTGTGATTTTTGCAGCTGATGCTGTTACTGCGGCTGCTACTGCTGATGCGGCTGTTGCTGCTGCAGCTGTTGCTGCTGCAGCTGTTGGTGCTGCGGCTGTTGCTGCTGCTGCTGCTGGTGCAGCGGGTCCATTAGCCGACGATGCTGCTGCACGCTGTGGATGGGCGGCTGCTGGTGCAGCGGGTCCATTAGCCGACGATGCTGCTGCACGCTGTGGATGGGCGGAGTGCTGCTGCTGCTATTTGCTTCAGCGTTGGGTGCTGAAGGTTCTGCTGCTGCAGTATGCTGCTTGCTGCTGCGCCACCTGCTGCTGCGTCGGCGTCTGCTGCTGTGTGTGCTGATCTGTGCTGCTGTTGCTGCTGCTGCAGGCTTGACTTGCTGCATCTGCTGTCATGCTGCTGCAGCTGCGGCCGTTGCTGCTGCTTCTTTTGCAGCGGCGGCTGTTGCTGCTGCGTGTGTTGCCGCTGCGTGCATTGCTGCTGCGTGTGTTGCTGCTGCGCGTGCTGGTGCTGCGGCTGTTGCTGCTGCTGCTTAAGTTGTTAATGTCCCTGCTGCTGCTGCTGGTAAACAGCAGCGCCTTCTCTAGTCAATAAAAGATATCCGCACTACGAATACACTGTAGCTGTTGCTGCTGCTGCTGCTGCTGCTGTCTTAGGCTTGCCCTTGGCGACGCCGCTGCTGCGGCTGCTGCTGCTGCTGCTGCTGCTGCTCCCATGCAGCAGAAAACCCTAATTGAGTACGGCTTCTCTAGCAGCAGGAAAAACTGTCATTCTTGTTGCGCTGTCTGTTGCTGTTGCTGTTGCTGGTGCTGCTGCTGCTGCTGCAGCTAGCGGACACCGGCGACGGGGCTGCTAGGAGGGAGCGGGAGGGCAGCGTTGCTGCTGCAGTGTTTTGCTGCTGCAGCACTCTATTAAGAATTGCTGCATGCGTTTAATATGCTACTACATCCAACAGATTCCTAATTTCTAAACACACAGCAGCAGCAGCTGCTGCTGCTGCTGCTGCTGCCCTCCTCCCTTTGACTGCTCCTTGACCGCCGGCTTGTGTGGCGGTCGAGCAGCTGTAGCAGCAGCAGCAGCAGCAGCAGCAGCTGCTGCTGCTGCTGCAGCGCTGATTCATTGCTGCATAATAAAAGCTTGGCATTTGAAGCTTCCTGCAGTTTGCAACTGGTTTTGCTGCTGCTTGTCTTGCTGCTGTTGCTGCACGTACTGCTGCTGCTGCTGCAGCACGTGCTGCTGCCTTCGCCGGTTTGCTGCAGCAGGTGAATTCTCCGCTGAAATTAAAGTTCACTTAGGCCTTAGAGCTCAAGTAACCAACAGCAGCAGCAGCAGCAACAGCAGCAGCAGCAACAGCAACAGAGACACCCCGAAGCACCGGCCGTGAGCCGATACACTGAAGCAGCAGCAGCAGCTACTGCAGTGACAGCAGCAGCAGCTGAAGCAGTCGTAGCAGCAGCGTCGCCCCATGTAGATACAGTAGAGGTGCGCAAGTTTCTCAGGTAGTAGGGACAGCTGCACGAGGCAGCAGCGAGAAACGTGCAGCAGCAAGCAGCAACAGCAGTAGCAGTAGCAGCAGCTGAGCATTTCTTCTTCTCACACAGAAGCACGAAACATTAAAGAAACTGCTGCTTTTTTCCCGTCTGTCCTAGCAGCAGCAGTAGCAGCAACAGCAACAACAACAGCAGCAGCAGCACAACAGCAGCATAGCAGCAGCAGCAGCAGCAGCAGCAGCAGCAAGAGGAAGACGTTTTCTAGCCTATTGGGGGTTGGGGGGAGTTAGAGGTGCAGCAGTGTTTGTACACCTCAACTCAGCAGCAGCAGCAGCACACGCCTCTGTGGGTTGCTGCTGCTGCGACGGCGGTGTTCGCTCTGAGTTAAAGGAGCCTATACATAGATTATATATGTATAATTATATTATATTATAAATATAATATTTTTTGTTTTTGTTTTTATATGCAACTTCTACGCAGTGCTGCAGTGTTTGTCTTCACTATTGGGGTGTAGGGGTTGTTTTAAGTGAGGAGCTTAAGATGTTTATTTCTGTTTATCTGCCTGGGCTTTGTCTCGGAGACAAAAGGAGACAAAAAAGACAAAAGGAGACAGCAAGAGATAGCTGAAGCTCCAGCTCAATGCTGCAGCTACGGCATTGAGCTGCAGCTACAGCTCAGTGTTGTTTTCGTGTGTCTCGCTAAATAGTTTTAACAAGTGTCTGCGGTGTATGTCAGTGCATGCAGCAAAATGAGGCTGGAGAGCTGTGCATACACCCGAGAAGATGCACACAGCACAGCTCTCCAGCCACATTTTGCTGCTGCAATTTGCAGCACTTTTAACCTTAAAATAAAATAGTAAAGTTTATTTATAACAACTTCTTCAGTGCTAGTGCATGCATAAATAAATATACAAGATAAACTGTCGTTGGGGCTCTGCATGAAGACTCTTCTTAGTGAAGCTTCTTTATCAGAGGTTTATTTCAGGTGTATTCGCAAGAGAGAGACAAATGCGAAGAAGATGCAGCTTTTGAGATGGAAGTGCAGATATATTTGACTAAATAGAAAATAGATAAATAAAAAAGAGACCAACGAACAAAGAGACAAAAGATTCGCCTTTATCCTCATAGCAACAAAGAAGAAAGAAGTGCGTTGTTGAGATAAGCTGAATATAGATAGAGTGTCTGCATCTTTTATTATTATACTGTGCATGCAAAGCCCTTCTTAGAGACAGATGAAAAGAGAGTAAGAAAAACACAAAAAACACCGCTGTGAGCTCTCGATATTCATAAGAGAAAGATCTGTCTACCAAGAGGTGTATCTGCTGTTTATTATCTAAACAAAGCAGCATAATTGAATATTGTAGACTCAGTAAAAGATGAAATAAACTTAAATATATATATATAATTTTAAGCAGCGACTGTAGACAGACTAACAAAGAGGATACAGGAGACAGTCTGTCTCCAGGATACAGGAGACAGTTTGTCTCCTTCATAAAGGGTAGAGAAGAGATTGATAGGGCTAACAGATATTATATATCCTCACCTGCATATATATATATATAATTAATGAAGTCTCTGTTTAGAGACTCTTTTATAAATGGTGATGAGTTGCTAGCGCTCAGATGCTGATGCTCTTGACAAAGTCTCCTATCTAAAGGTGAAGTGCATGCAGCCTGTCTATTTGCTTATTTATTCGTAGTCGTATATATATATATACATATATATATATTTATCTATTTATGTATTCATTTGTAAATTTATTAAAATTTATTAAATATAAAAAGCAGTTAAACATTTTATATAGACGGAGTAAATAATGTTAATATTAATTATTATAATTATACTATGAGATTATTTTCTAAAGAAATATATTTAAAAAATAAACAACATGTTAATTTACATTCGATACCCAACCTTTTCATTATATTACATTCATATATAATATGAATGTACTATAATAGGGTGTATATACACCTCCAGAAGACTAACCTTATTGTCGTAGATATATATATATATATATGTATATATCTGCATGCGGCTTTTTTATCTCTCAGCGCTCTCACAACAGCATTTGCATCTTCTTTAGTAAAAAGAATAGGGGCTTAGTATTATAAAGACATGTACAGAAGAGTTTCATCTGTAGTGCGTAGGAGTTGTAAAAAACAAAGAAAAAGCAGTGCATGCATGCCTTCATGAGCACTTTACGAAGGCCTCTATTTAAACAGTTAATTGCGAGACAAACAACATTAAATGATGAAGATAAAGAAAATCTCTTTAAAGAGGATCAGAGAGAAGGAGATGCCTCTGGGTCTCCAACTCAATATACACCTCAAGCACCGCATTAAACTAATAATAATAATAATAATTAATAAATAAATAATAGTAATAATAATAATAAACTTACTAATAAAGTTAGCAGAAAGCTAGCTAGCTTTATTATTGATTATTATTATTCTTAGTATTTTTACTACTAAATAATAATAATAATTTATGAGGGATTATTATTATTCTTACTCTTACAAATAATAATAATAATAATAATGCTGATAATAACAAAGCTAGAGTTAGCTTCCTGCTATCTTTTAAAGAGCATAAAGGTTTATTTAGATATATAAGCGAGACTTATAGAGGGCTCCTTTGTCTTGAATAAAAAGTTTGAGTAAATTATAAATAAATAATATAAACTTTTAAAGACTGCTGCAAATCTCTTGCTGCTGTCTAAGTGTAAATGTACAAACAACAACGCCTTTTAGAGCTGCTGGTTTTCTTACAGTCGCTTGTGTGTATAAGGGATTGCTCTAGAGCTGCTGCTGCTGCTGCTGCTGCTGCTGCTGCTGCTGCTGCTGCTGCTGCAGCGAGAGTTTCGAATCATTCGTGTATTTCTAGCGAATAATGTATTTAAAAG